TTGGCCCACGTGGTGCTGGTCACGTGGGTACGCTTGTACTGATGCTCCTTCGACTTGGGCTACTAGGTGGTAACCTAGGCCCGTTATGCCCAGCCCTGTTTGGGTGTTGGGCCTATTCCAACAGGATCGATTAGATAAAACGGGAAGACAAAAGAGAAAACTTTGTCTCTGTAACTGAATACTGTCTATAGATCAAATGAATGAAAAGACTGAAGGAATACAAAAAAATGTAGAAGCAGGGATGGGCAGCGGCATTATTTTCTGACTCAGGATTTCTTAGGGAATTTCTTAAGAAATCTTTGGCGCCACTTACTAGGGGTGTTCATATCCTATCCAATCTTATCCAATCTGATTGATCCGACCTAAACTAATCTAATCCAATCAAAAACCGATCAAAATCAATATAAAATTGGATTAGTTTAAATTATAAAATTTTAAACCGATATAATTAGTTTGGTTTGTGATTTTATCTTCAAACCGCCTGAACTACCCGATCACAAAATAAAATCCGATTACAAGATAACTTAATTAAATAATATAGTATAATTTTTTGTAGTATTTTAATTTATTTTACAAGATAATAACTTCATTAATTTAATTAAAAAAATAAAAATAAAACATCTCCATATTTCTTAAGTTATTTTTCCATTTTAATCATGCACGTTAACCCTAATTTTAAATTTTTAATTCACCTGTAACTCTATCCCTTGAAAATTGGTTTATGCCTTTACTCTTAGAATCTTGAATTTCTAATTTGTTCCTAAAATAATATTATGATTTTCCTAACTAATTTTTAAAAAAGCATTATTCTAAAAGTCTTAAAACAATATAATAAATCTAGTATAGTCTTGATATTCTACTGTTATTGGATATTTGGTTTAGAAGTTTTAAATTTTGATTATGGATGCTTTTAATCAATTTTAGTGATATTTATGTTAAATTTTATTTACTTTTAACAGGATTTAGAAGATGTGATTAAATTATTAGTGCATTAAGAAAAAAAACTAATTTTAACCTTTAAGAATTATTTATACTGTGCTAGAAACTTAAAGTCATCTTTTATTGTTCTTGGTGCCTCTAGTGATGCAACCAAGAAGAAGTTTCAAAGCTTTTCAATTTTTACAAATGTAAAGTAGTATAAAAACTTATTTATAATTTATACTTTTTATGATGTTTTTACTAATTTGGATGTTAATGTGTTTTATAATTATGTTTTTTATTTGATGTTAAAATATTTTTACATTATCTCATATATTTAATAATGGTAAAAATTGATCAATCCAACTGAACCACACCAATCTTATTTAAGTTGGATTAGTTTAGTTATCATATAATAGTGGATTAAATTGGTTTAAAAATTTTATTAACCGATTAAATTGAATTAATTTAAAAATATTAAAATCTGAACCAAAGCACACCACGAACACCCCTACCTCTTACGGTCTCATTACACCTATTGTAGGCCACTTTATTAGGGGTCTCTTATGGGAGACCGGTTCTCTTGTAATTTCTGAGAAATGTAATCCTCTAACGATACCAGTTAAATAAAATAATGCTAATTTGATTTTAGAAGGGTATCTTTAAATAAGTGTAAATATTCTATTTAAAAGTGAGTTAAATAAAATAATATAAATAAAAATAATGGGGTATATGAGAAGCCTATATTTTTTTCTTTTTGGTGAAAATGAGAAGCCTATATTCGGTATGAGAGAAATTGAGGGAGGAGAGAGAAAAGATGAATTTTTTAATAACTTAAATTATAATAATTTTAAATATTATAATTTAATTATCTTTGAAAAACATTTATTATAATCTAATTAATTAAAAAATTTATTCTTCTTCTCCCTTCTTTTTATTTTCTTTTAAACCAAGTATACGCTTAACCATACACCATGTGGAATAGTGATGATTTGACCATTCAGAGTCAGATTGTGATGTTGTCTTCCACATTAAAGAAGATAGTGGGAAAGTGAAAGCAAATGGATCGTGGTTACAAGAAGAAGTCAAGGATTGAGGATGCTAGAGTTTCCATCGAAGTATTCCTTTTGGTGCTTCCTAAGAAAGCAAAAAGGGGCCGATAGAAATTAAAAAAAAGAAATGCAAAAAGGAGTGTGAGGAGTTAGCATGTGATTGCTCGAGTAGGACTAGGGTAGAAATGAATAATAAAGCTACCGTTGGAGAGAATCAGACGCAGGAAAGGGAAGCCTTCCATATAGACCTAATAAATCCCTGAATTTTCAACTTATGGATGCTTCACTACTGCAACTAGAGGATTGAGTTACTCTTAGTCGGAGGGGGAGAGGGACTTGGAGAAGGAAAGGGCGTGGAAAGATGAGCTCGCCTATGAGGAAGAGAGAATCTAAAGGTGTAACATCCTACGCTAAAGCAGTCAAACACCACTTGTGACATCGTCTACTTTCCTCACATGTCTCATATATGATTTTTAGTAGGCCTCACTAGCCAGTGGTGAGTTTACACTTATCAACCCAAGATCCATCACGAGCTTGGCTAATGTGGGATTTACCTAAGGGCACTACGTGTTGATACCATAGGTTATGACATTTTTCTGTTTTCAAGACTCAACATTTTTACTAAGGTTTGCCTTAACATCAGTAAGGATAGTTCTATGAGTAACTCTAATATCAATTATAATATATTGAGTCAAAGTGCTCAAACACCCTTGGTGATGTTGTTTATTCTGGCTAGTGGAAATAAGCCTCAACGTTTAAAAAGGCCTCACTAGTGGGTGATGAGTTTACACTGACAAACGCAAGATCCTTGTTGTGCCTGGCCGATGTACAATTTTCCAAGGGCACTTGGTGTTGACACCATGGGTTATTAGGAAAGGGATAATGGAAGCAAGTGGAAGATCACACAGATTAGAAGCGTGTAGCAAACGTTTTAGTTGACAATTCAATAGGGGCACTGGTTCTACATGAGGGGCATTAGCTAGGTTTCTACTAGGTGAGTAGTGGTCGGGATCACTACTTCGTCAAATTGTCCTGAAATCCTCAGAAGTTGACACAACAGGTTAGACGACCAAGTTGGCTGAGTGCCCTTCTAAAAGGTAGCTTTGCTTTTTCCCCTACACTGTTGGTCAAACAACATACAGCACCTAGATTGGCTCTATTGCTCTTAATGTGTCTAGATTAGTCATTGAGCCCAAATTCGTTTGTGTTAGAGTTATAGGTGATACTTACTTTTTGCTCTCATTGGAGATTTATTATGCTCTGTAAACTCTCTTTCTTTATTTTTAATGAAATTTCATGATTTATTATAAAAAGAGCCGAACTGTGGAGTTAAAAAATTATACAAATTGTTTGACATTTACGAAAAAAAAAAGCATTATTAACTTTTTTAAATTTATCCATTTTCATCTACTCCTACTGAATGCTATTACATGTTGAACATTTCAAAATGGATAATTTAAACTCCGTTGAGTATGGTTGCAATTTTGGTTTTGGTTCTGGTTTTAAAAAATATTGCAATCTAAATAAAAAAAACTCGTTTAGTCTCATGTGTTTTTGTAACATGTTATTATAATTATTAGATAAATAAGAAAGAAATATTTTCAGCACTATCAAACAAATTTTTATATATTTTTAGTTTTTAAGATTAACATTTGTTTCAAACAAGTTTTTTTGTTTTTTTTTTTAGCATTAGTTTTCATTAGCTGTAAAATTTATAAAAATTAAAATTAAAAACCACAACCTTACTAAATGGAGTTATAGTAATTTTTTTTAATAATAATTCTTGCAACCAAAATTTAGTACAAAATTATTTAATTTTTAATTATGTGGGTCTATATAGACCCCACGCCATGATCGAGGACCACCATAAATTTGTCCTCATGGGTAACAGATGGTAGTAACTAGTAAGTGACCATTGGTAGATTGTGAAAAGTAGGTAATGGATAGTGGATACTAATTAATATGGTTGTTTACTTATATAATAGTTAGAAGCATAAGGAGTAGGTCAAAAATTCTACAACCAAAAAATATTTGAAAACTGACAAATTACAATTGATGGGTAAGGTTTGACTGGTTTTTGGGTTTACATGACTAAAAATTGAACTAAATTGATTTTAAGCAGTCTAGGTTTTGGTTGCTAAGTTTAAAAGTCGAAAACAATGATTATGTGAGTATAAACGAAAAATTTAGTTAAAAAAACTTTTATATAAATTTTTTAATGGTTTTTAAAATTTTTTATGGTTTTCTAATCATTTTTCATCAAATTATTGATTTATTTAGGTAATTTTTAATTTTTTTAGTAATTGAAATTAATAATATAATAATGATATATTTTTTAAAATCACTAAAAATATATAAAAATAATTTTTTAGTTAAAACAAAAATGA